GGATAAGAGTTATCAATGAATGTTTCCATGAATCTGGTATTCTCTCTCCTTCCAATATTTCATTATAGAGCACTTTTAGTTTAGGGATCAATATTGATTTAAAAGTTTTATAGTATTCCGAACCTAATCCATCAAAACCTGGAGTTTTACCATAGTTTAGGTTTACCAAATATAAGAAACTATTATTTAGCTAACCAACTGAGGTTCATTGGTGAAATTAGATAACAATCTGTAAGCCAGAGTTTGTTTTCATGAGGATCACTGTCATGCACCACATAGTCTCATCAAGAACATTTTAATCCGCCTAAGACTCTCCTCAGAGCATCTTTCACTTCCTTGTTCCTCAGACTGTAGATGAGAGGATTCAACATGGGGATCACCACAGTGTAGAACACAGAGATCACTTTGTCTCGGCTCAATGAATAGCATGAAATGGGTCGGACATACATGAACACTGTGGTCCCATAGAAGATCAAGACAACTGTCAGGTGAGAGACACATGTAGAAAAGGCTTTCTGTCTGCCTTCTGAAGAATGGATCTTGAGGATGGTGCAGATGATGTAGACATAGGAGATAATGATCTCTGCTGAGGTGAAGATGCCATAAAATGTGCCGAAAGTGTAAAGCACAATTTCATTATTATAAGTGTCACTGCAGGAGAGCTTTATTAGTGGAGGAATGTCACAGAAATAGTGATTAATGATGTTGGAGCTGCAGAAGGAGAGGCTAAAAGTGGAAATGGTTTGTGCAAGTGCATGAGCAAATCCAATAAAGTAAGCAATACACACCATCTGGACACAAACTTGCTTTGTCATGACAACTGGATAGAGCAGTGGATTACAAATTGCCACATAGCGGTCATAGGCCATGACAGCCAGTAAAAGACACTCAACACTTGCAGTAAGGACAAAGCTGAACAATTGTGTAACACAGCCACCAAATGAAATGGCTTTTCTGGCAACCAAAAAATCAACCAGAGTTTTAGGAGTAATGGTGGAAGAATAGCAGAAGTCCACAAAAGCTAAATTGCTGAGGAAATAGTACATGGGAGTATGGAGTTGAGCATCAGCCCTAACCAAGGCGATCATCCCAAGATTCCCCACACAGGTGATGAGATACATGGCTAGGAAGAACAGAAAACAAAGGGTGGTCATTTCAGGATTTTCTGTTAATCCTGAGAGGAAAAATTCTCTCAGAACAGTATGATTTTCTTTTACCATTGTGTTGCTTAGTGGTGCGTGGCAGCCTCTCCACCTCAGAAAAGTAGAAAGGGGATGGTAGTTATGAGGGAAATGTTTGGGTGCTTCCAGAAAGGTATATCTATTGTGCCTCTTTTATGGGGTTTTGTGAAGGGTCTAAGGGGAAGGCCTCTTGACTTTGTATCTGCCTCTTGCTTTTCTTCTTCTTTTCCCATCATTTGTCTCACCCAGTCCAAATCAATTGAGGAAGAAAATACAGAAATTGCCCTTAGATAGTCACCATTACCAACCTTCTCTGTCCAAACAGTGTTCCATCCGAAAGACCAATGGCTGTTTCAATCTCTTGCTACATTCCAATCGACTTGACTATGGATATCTCCATCTGGGAACAAAATGGTCACAATGTTCCGGAAATATAAAGTTCATTTTTCCCCTGAAGTATCCAATGCTTGGTATCTTGGCAAGAGCAAAAAACAAATATGATTTTTCAAAGAAGGTATACTACTAATGTTCATCCTCATCTTCATTTTCTCAGCAGGCACTTTCAAAGTACTCTTCAGGTTTGCAAAATTGTAATTTTGCAACTTTATTTTTAATCTTGCGTGGAAGACACAGAGCAGCACTGTAACAAGCAGCAGGCAACAAAACCAGAAACATTGAACAGCCAAAATTAATTAATGACACTATACAGTACAATAATATTGATAGTATTTAGCTATTGGCTAAAATCCTCTTGTATAGCTGCACAGATGGCTTAATTTTTGGAAGCAAAGTTCCCCAAGTTAAGTAATCACTGTCGCCATTGTTGTTTTTATGTGTTGTCAAGTCAGCTCCGACTTATGGCAACTCTGTGAATGAGCAATCTCTAAGATGTCCTGTCCTCAACAGCCCTGCTCATCTCTTGTAAACTCAAGCCTGTGGCTTCCTTTAGGGTGTCAATCCATCTTGTATTTGGTCTTCCTCTTTTCCTGCTGCCTTCCACCTTTCCCAGGATTATTTTCTTTTCCCAGAGAATCCTGCCTTCTCATGATGTGCCTAAAGTAGGACAATCTCAGCTTCAAAATGTTTGACTCCAGAAAAAGTTCAGACTTGATTTGATCACATTTGCTTATCTTTCTGACAGTCTAGGGTATCTGCAAAATTCTTCTCCAGCACTACATTTAAAGCAACTGAATCCTTTCTTGTCAGCTTTCTCTACTGTCCATCTTTCATGCCTGTGCTTGGAAATACAAGAGTATGGAGGATCTTGTTCTTAGTCTCCAGTGATACATCCTTACCCTCGATGATCTTTCCTAGTTCCTTCTCTGCTGCCCTTCCAAGTGTTAGTCTTCTTCTGATTTCTTTGCTGCAGTCTCCATTAGGATTGATGACTGAATTCAAGTATACAAAATCTTTAACAATTTCAATTACTTCATTAAAGTTGTGTAGTTCTTCTGTAGTCATGGGTTCTGCCTTCTTAATAGGCAACTGCTGTCCTGATGTAGGTATTCTCAGTTGCACAATCAGTCACACAACTTGATAATGTCGACTGAGATTTCGTGACTTCAGACAATTTGCTTCCAAAAGTTATGCTGTTTGTGTTCTGTCAGCATAGCTGGGATCCCAGTACAGAAATAATACAGTACCATGTAAATACACTATTTGTACTTAGTTCCTCTTGGTAACAGTAACACATCAATAAAACAAAGGACTATTAAAGAGGCTATTTTTGGCTATTAATGGCTTCCTTAGCCCAAGCTCCCAAAGGCTTCTCCTTGAAGGAACCTGAAGGAGGAGGAATAAAATATTATAAATGGAATTAAATATTAAATTACCCTGTCTCTTGGCAATCCCCTGCCCCCTCTTCCTGTTTGATTCTTTTGTTTTGCTTCAGTTATCTCTCCTTCTCTGACCTCTGCAAGCACCTTGAAAACAATGCAGTAATGACTAGAAGCCAACATGGATTTGTCAAGAAGGAATCCTTCCAGACTAATCTTATCTCATTCTTTGATCAGGTAAGCTCCTTGGTAGACAGTAGAAGTGTGGTAGATGGAATATATCTTGACTTCAGCAAAGCTTTTGATAAAGTGCCGCATGATATTCAGATTAGAAAGCTAACTAGATGTGGCCTGGATAAAACAAGTTTCATGTGGATACACACATGAAACTCATAGCCCACATAGTCAACAAAAGAGTGGGAAAAGCTGTAATGGGATACAATCTCAAAAATGACAGAACAATTTCAATACGAATCCAAGGCAGACTTTTCAACATCACAGTAATCCAGATTTATGCACCAAACATCAATGCTGAACAGGCTGAAATTGACCAATTCCGTCTAGAACTGACACCAAAGAAAGATGTTCTTCTCATTATAGGGGACTGGAATGCTAAAGTAGGGAGTAAAGAGATGAAAGGAACAACAGGTAAGTTTGGCCTTGGAGTTCAGAATGAAGCAGAGCAAAGGCTAATAAAATTTCGTCAAGAGAACAAGCTAGTCATCACAAACACTCTTTTCCAACAACAGAAGAGGTGACTCTACACATGGACATCAGCAGATGGACAATACCAAAATCAGATTGATTATGTTCTCTGCAGCCAAAGATGGAGAAGCTCTATACAGTCAGCAAAAATAAGACCCGGAGCTAATTGTGGCTCTGATCATCAGCTTCTTATAGCAAAATTCAAGCTTAAACTGAAGTAGGAAAAATCACTGGCTAGTCAGGTATAATCAAAACCAAATCCCTTATGAATACAGAGTGGTAGTGAAGAACAGATTTAAGGAACTAGATTTGGTGGACAGAGTGCCTGAAGAACTATAGATGGAGGCTCATAACATTGTACAGGAGGCAGCAACAAAAAACATCCCAAAGAAAAGGAAATGCAAGAAAGCAAAGTGGCTGTCCAATAAGGCCTTACAAGTAGCAGAGAAGAGAAGGGAAACAAAACGCAAGGGAGATAGGGAAAGTTACAGAAAATTGAATGCAGACTTCCAAAGAATAGCAAGGAGAGACAAGAGGGCCTTCTTAAATGAACAGGGCAAAGAAATAGAGGAAAATAATAGAAAGGGAAAAACCAGAGATCTCTTTAAGAAAATTGGAGATGTTAAAGGAACATTTCGTGCAAAGATGGACATGATAAAAGACAAAAATGATAGGGACCTAACAGAAGCAGAAGACATCAAGAAGAGGTGGCAAGAATACACAGAGGATTTATACCAGAAAGATCTGGTTGTCCCAGACAACCCAGACAGTATGGTTGCTGACCTTGAGCCAGACATCCTGGAGAGTGAAGTCAAGTGGGCCTTAGAAAGCATGGCTAACAACAAGGCCAGTGGAAGTGATGGCATTCCAGTTGAACTATTTAAAATCTTAAAAGATGACGCTGTTAAGGTGCTACACTCCATATGCCAGCAAGTTTGGAAAAATCACCAGTGGCCAGAGGATTGGAAAAGATCAGTCTGCATCCCAATCCCAAAGAAGGGCAGTGCCAAAGAATGCTCCAACTACCATACGATTGCACTCATTTCACACCCTAGCAAGGTTATGCTCAAACCCCTACAAGATAGGCTTCAGCAGTATGTGGAACGAGAACTCCCAGAAGTACAAGCTGGATTTCGAAGGGGCAGAGGAATTAGAGACCAAATTGCTAATATGTGCTGGATTATGGAGAAAGCCAGAGAGTTCCAGAAAAAATCTACTTCTGCTTCATTGACTACGCAAAAGCCTTTGACTGTGTGCACCACAGCAAACTATGGCAAGTCCTTAAAGAAATGGGAGTGCCTGACCACCTTGTCTATCTCCTGAGAAATCTATATTTGGGACAGGAAGCAACAGTTAGAACTGGATATGGAACAACTGATTTGTTCAAAATTGGAAAAGGAGTACGACAAGACTGTATAATATCCCCCTGCTTATTTAACTTATATGCAGAATACATCATGCGAAAGGCTGGACTGGAGGAATCCCAAACCGGAATTAAGATTGCTGGAAGAAATATAAGCCAACCTCAGATATGCAGATGATACTGCTCTGATGGCAGAAAGTGAGGAGGAATTAAAGAACCTCTTAATCAGGGTGAAAGAGGCGAGCACCAAAAATGGTCTGAAGCTGAATATTAAAAAAAAACTAAGATCCTGGCCACTGGTCCCATCACCTCCTGGCAAATAGAAGGAGAAGATATGGAGGCAGTGACAGATTTTACTTTCTTGGGCTCCATGCTCATGCAGATGGTGACAGCAGCCATGAAATTAAAAGACGTCTGTTTTTTGACAAACCTAGACAGCATCTTAAAAAGCGGAGACATCATTTTGCTGACAAAGGTCCGCATAGTCAAAGCTATGGTTTTTCCTGTAGTGATGTATGAAAGTGAGAGCTGGACCATAAAGAAGGCTGACCGCCGAAGAACTGATGCTTTTGAATTGTGGTGCTGGAGGAGGCTCTTGAGAGTCCCCTGGACTGCAAAGAAAACAAACCTATCAATTCTGAAGGAAATCAAGCCTGAGTGCTCACTAGAAGGACAGATCCTGAAGCTGAGGCTCCAATACCTTGGCCATTTCACGAGAAGAGAAGACTCTCTGGAGAAGACCCTGGTATTGGGAAAGTGTGAGGCCAAGAGGAGAAAGGGACAACAGAGGACAAGATGGTTGGACAGTGTCATCAAAGTTACCATCATGAATTTGTCCAAACTCTGGGAGGCAGTGGAAGACAGGAGGGCTTGGCATGCTTTGGTCCATGGGGTCACGAAGAGTCAGGCACAACTTGACTAAGCAACAACAACACACTTGGTTACAGAATCGTACTCAGAGAGTGCTTGTCAATGACTTCTCAAACTGGGAGAAGGTAACAAGTTGACTACCATAGGGTTCAGTCCTGGGCTTGGTGCTCTTCAATATTTTTATTAATGACTTGAATGAGGAACTGTGGGAAATATTTATCAGATTTGCAGATGACATTAAAGTGGGTAGAATAGTTAATACCTTGGAAGACAGAAACAACATTCAAAATGATCTGAATAGGCTTGAGCACTGGGCTGAAAACAACAGAATG